CACTAGTTGAGTCACATCACCTCTCTGAGTGCCTCTCCCCACCCCCACTTGCCACCTTGTAGTGTAATCGTAATGGGAAGGAGAGGACAGCAGCTTGAGCATGGAGCAGGACCACACTTGACTCTCCTTGGGTGTGAGCTGACCTAGAGCTCAGGTGGAACATCCCACCCAGGGGCACAGCCCAATCCACACCCAGGCTCATCGTTACAGGAAACTGGTACCTGGTCTCGGCACTAGGGTTGCTCTGGGCTGTCAGGAGCCTGAGTGATGTAATGCAGTTGGTAGAATGCTTGTGCAGCATGCCCGAGACGTTGGGTTCAATCTGAAGTACTGCATAAGGACAGGAGTGATGGTGTGCACCTGTAATCCTAGCACTTGACAAGTGGAAGAAGGCTGGAGGCTCAGTTGAAGGTTATGCTTCCTGAGTTCCAGGCCAACCTGGGCTACATGAGACCCTGTTTTAAAAAAAGGGTGGCAGGGTCTGAGGTATATCTCAATAGAAGGTAGCGCTCTTGCCTGGCCCACAAAGCCAATGGTCTGATGTCCAGCACCACATAATCAATTAACTAATTAATTGAATTAATTTTAAAGGTTCTTTAAAAATATTTTGATTCTATGTTGTACGAGTGCTTGCATATGCATCTGTGCATCACATTTATGCAGTACCTGAAGAGGCCAGAAGAGGGTGCCAGATCCCCTAGAACGGGAGTTAAAAATGGTTGGGAGCTGCCATGTAGATAATAGGAACCAAACCTGGCTCCTCTGCAAAAGCAGACTGTGCACTTAACCCTGACCCATCTCTCCAGCCCTTAATTTTTTTTAAAAAAAAAAATGTTCAAAAAGAAATTATATAAAAGGGGCTGAGGGGGCTGCAAGGCAGCTCCACAAGAAAGAGCAGCTGCTATGCATGTCGGATGACCTGAGTTTGGTTCCCAGAACCCATGTTGGAAAGAGAGAACAAACTCCTGAAACTTGTCCCTTTACCTCCATGTGCTGTGGCACGGGCACACCTGTGCACACACACAGACAATTATAGATGAAGAGACAATTGGAAGAGGGTGCTGGGGACTGGAGCTCTGTTAGCAGAGCACTTGCCTAGCATGATCAAAGCCCGGGTTTGACCTGCTCTGTATAAAACCAGGAGTGGTCTGGAACACCTGTAATACCAACCAGCACTTGACAAGTGGAGGCAGGGGGATCAAAGGTTTACGCTTGTCCTCGGCTACACAAGTTCAAAGCCTTGTTTTGTCATGAACTGCATGAGACCCTGTCTCAACATACAACAAGACAGCCTGGGGTCCCAGGCCTCTCACTTGGGCTCTTGAGTCAGAGCTTGCTTCCCCCTGATGCCTGCCCCAACAACCTGAGAAACAGAAACAGGCACCTCAGTCCTCTTACTCAGGGGACTCAGATGGCCTCTGGGGGTTGGGGACGGGACCTTCCTAGCAGTATAACCCTGACATAACTCTGCTCTTTCTGAGTACCTGTGTTGGGCAGGTATTCCCTAGGATGTCACTAAGAAAGTCTGTACCTTCCCAAGAGCACAGCCCAAGGTACCAACTCAGTTCTCATTGACTTGGCCATGCTAGAGCACAGGGTGTCTATCAGCTGTTGGGTGACCAGCCAAGGGCTGTCTGTTGACAGAGGGTCTGACGTTGTTGGTCAGCTCTACTTATCTGGATACCAGTTTACCAGAAGCTGTCACACCCCACACCCAGTCTTGACTTTGTCTGAGGGGCCTGGACGGTTTGGACAGGAAGCCCTCGAGAGGATGCCATACACAGGGTTTTCTGTGTCCTGTGCTAAGCCTCCCAGTTCCCTTCCCCACTTCTTTCTCCACGGCAGGACCCTGTCCACTAGGTCATCCCTAACTTCCAGAGAACAGCAGGGCTTCTGGGTAAAGAGAGGAGTTGGGTGGCTGGATTCCAGCCTCGATCATCTGCCCCTGCCCTGGTCTTTAAGTGCTCACCCTCCTCCCCTGCCCTGGGGCCGTGCAGGCCCTCGGTCCCTTGCACTTCTTTCTTCTCCAGTGACACAGGTTAGAATATTCTGTTTGGATCTCTGGGATGGTGGTGGAAGCTGGGCACACAGTGCCTAGTACTTGGGTAGCAAAAGGCCCTCCATGTTCTTTGGGGGACCCTTCCAAGGTCCCCATAAGTGCCAGATCCCTGCCCCTATTCTCACACTACCATCTACCAGCAGTGCTTCTGCCGAGAAGGGGCTCACTCCCTCCTGCCTCCCCAGCACTCAGTCTGGCAGCGAGGAGCAGTGTGGAGCATGGAGAACAGAGCATGATGGGAAAGAGGATCCAGGGCAGCTGTTAGTTCCTTTCCTAACTTCCACTTTCTAGAGTGGCCTCTTTCGTGGCTGCCGCGGCTTCACCTCCTGGAAGCACAAGCAGAGGCAGCTCAGGCCACCACGTGGCTAAGCAGCCTGGAGAAGGGACACCACGGAGAGCGGAGAGCGGTCCCCCTCTGGGAGTTCTTTCAGCCTGATGTTGGCTAGTCAGCTGGGATTCCTTCGGTGTGGACTCTCCACCTATCTTACCCAAGGGTCCCCAGAGCACCCTCCCATCCACCTTCTGGATTGCTCTTATCTGAGCAGGCAGGGCTGGCTGACTGCCTACCTGTTTCTGTATTGTTCTTCTTCTTCCACAGGTATGCTGGACCCTTCTGTTCTTCCACACACCCCTGAGGGCCCTGGGCAGAGCTTGTGAAGCTCCTTTTTCCTCAGGGACCTTGAAAGGCAGGGGTTCTGTGTGCGCTGGGGAAAGGGGCTTGTGGAACCCACAGTGAGAGTCCGTGGGTGGCTCCAGGATTTCTTTGTCATTTTTCAATTTAAAAAGATTTTTATTTTACACTATTTTGATCTCTCTGTGTGTGCACATTCGTGCACAAAAGTCACAGGGCAATTTGAGGGACTCAGGTCCTCTTCTTCCACCATATTGATACTGGGGATTAAACTCAAGCCGTCAAGGTTGAGAGCAACTGTCTCTAACCACTGAACCATCTTTCCACCAGCCCTCTCTTTTTGTTTTTATATTAATATTTTAACTTGTTGTTGTTGTTGTTGTTTGAGAGTCTGTGTAGCTCTCTGGCTGTCCTGGAACTCACTCTGTAGACCAGGCTGGCCTTGAACTCACAGAGAACCAACCTACCTCTGCCTCCCTGAGTGCTGGGACTAAAGGCGTGCACTACCACTGCCCAGTTTATATTTTAAAATTTTTAATTTTCGTTCATTTTATGTGTTCGAGTGTATTGCCTACACATATGCATGTGCACGACGTGGGTCAGAAGAGGACATCCCATGGGGTTGTGGATCTCAGCCACCCTGTGGATGCTGCGAACCCAACCCAGGTCCTCTGGAAAAGCAACAAGCATTCTTAACCCCTGAGCCCACTGGGCCACTACCAAATTTCTTTTTATTTTTAAGATTTATTTTTATTTTAATGTATATGTTTTTGTGTGTTGGGGGTGGGGGCAGGAGAGGGCAACATGTTTCCCTGGAGCTGGGTGGATGGTCGTGGGCCACCCAATTGGAAGCAGGAACCAAACTTTGATCCTCTGAAAGAGCAGCAAGCACTCTTAACTGCTGAGCCATCTCTTCAGGGCCCTTATTTTTTTATTTTTTTTTGCTATGTGGTTCTGGGTAGTCTTGATCTCACTATAAAACTCAGACTGACCTAGATTGGCCGTTCTTGCCTCAGCCTCCTCATTGCGGGATATACCTGCCTCAGAATCACACCAGGTCACGGAACTGGACTTTTAGGCTGGCTGTCAGTCTTAATTTTAGTTGTTTAAATGGAGGGGCTTGCATTTTCACTGGGAGCCAGCCGGCCTAGACGCAGGCTGTCTAGCTCTCCAATAGCCAGGGGTTTTTCCTTGCACACCCCCCCCTCCTGCTCCCTATCCCATCCCAGCACCTCTGCCTCCCATCCCATACCTATGGGGGACTCTCTGGGGTCCCTCGTCCAGCTCCTCCCCCCATCCCTGGGAATCTTGGAGGAGCAGCGTCCGCTTCCTGCTGCTATTAAACCTTTAAAAGCAGATGATAAATAAAACCGTGCACTGAAAGGCGATGACTCAGCCGCCCCCGCCACCCCTGTCCCCTAGGTCGGTCCCCACATTCTCCAAGCTAGCTTTGTTAGCCACCCCTCTGAACTTCCTGCAAGTCGGGGTTGTAGGGTCGCAGCCCGAGGTGTCTGTTGCTCAGGTTGGGGCACACAAGGGCCCCAGAAAGGAGGCAGGCCTCTCTGTTCACATGGCTGAGCATTGCGGGGTGCTGTTCCCCCTTCTCCCTTCCGCACTGCCTAACTAAAACCTGATAAAGGTCATTGTCCCATTTTACAGAAGGGAAAAGAAACTCAGAGAACTCCTTCGAGGCACAACTCCGGGGAGCAATATGAGTAATAAAGCCCGTTGGGGCAGGGCCACTTCCCAACGCGATCTAGTGGGTGGCCTTTGGATGCGCGCCCAAGCTGGGAGGAGACGGCTGCCGGGGCTAGGAAAGAACCCGTGGGTCCGTGACTGTCGTGAACCAGGAGCTCTGGGTCTCTCAGTGAGTGGGATTCTGGGCACTGTGGTCCCGTCTAGGGGTCGGGGTGCTCCCTAGGTCTTTCCCGCCTGTGAGTTGCGAGCAGGGGCCGCGGCCGCGCATTCCTAGGCAGGCCGGGCCGGCACCCGGGAGGGGAGGGGAGGGGACCGCGAGTCACTCCAACAGGCAGCTGGGACGTTGGGGCTGGAGGGAAAGCTCTGGGGCCCGTCAGAGAGGCGCCGAGCAGCCCCCCACCCCCCACCCCCTTCAGCCTCCGATAAGCTGCAGCCCCAGGCAGTGGGTAAGGGGCAGCCAGGAGCGGTAGGTGGGGGGCAGCCCAGGGAGCTTGGGTAGGAGAGTGCCCAGCTGCGGGGCGTGGCTGGGACGTGGGGCGGAGTCCTTATAAGGCCCATGCCGCGGCCCGCCGGCCGCAGAACGAGCGCGTTTGATACATCCATCCTTTCCCAATGGCTTCGAAACTCACGACGACCCCCGGCGAGATTCTTCGCGAGGGGCAGCTGGAGAAGCGAAGCGACAGCCTGTTGCAGCTCTGGAAGAAGAAGCGCGGCGTGCTCACCGACGACCGCCTGCGCCTCTTCTCCCGGAGCAGCGAGCGAGCTAAGGAGCTGCGCTTCCACTCCATCCTCAAGGTGGACTGCGTGGAGCACACCCGCAAGCATGTGTACTTCACCATCGTCACCATTGACTATAAGGAGATCGACTTCCGCTGCACCGAAGAGAGCTGCTGGAACGCGTTCATCACCCTGGCGTTGATCGAGTACCAGAACCGTCGGGCGTTGGAAGGCTTCCGCCGCCACCGTCTCCTTCCCATCGCGTCTGAAGAGCAGGAGGAGTCCGAAGAGCCGCGCTCCCCGAGTCCGTGGTGAGTGCCGCCTTCGTCCGCACTGGTGAGTACAGGGTATGGGGGTGTGTAGATGGGGGTCATACCGCCCACTGGGGGAAAACTTCGATTCCAAAAGCTACGGGAGAGGGTACGGGGAGCCTAGCTCCTTGGAGACGCTTTGGAGAGGGCACCTGGGACGCAAGGCGGGAATCTCTCGCCCCTCTTGGAGGCTTATAGGCTGCACCCCGACCTGCTCTAGGACAGCTCCTGACTCAGTCCTCTTCCCACAGAGACCAGTCGAGCCGGGAACCAGCCCACGCGGCCGCGTCAAACAGGATCCCAGGAGCCCAGGAGATGCCCCGGGCGACGCGGCTACTGCTCTTCGCCGAAGATTTTTCCCGTGCTTGCTGAGCCTCGCCCCGCTGTGCGGGTGCGCTAACTTATTGGACTGTATTTATCTTGATGGTCTTCAACTGTCAACCCACCGTTCCGTTTTAATATTTTTTTATACAGTATTTTCATTCCAAATAAACATTGCCATTTATCTTTTTTAACTTGCGTGGTCCGTATAGTTCCTGCTGGGGTATGTGCGTAGAAGGGTGGGAGTGAAAGGGTCTCCCATCCAATGTCATTCCCTCTCCGCGTCCCAGGAACCATTCAAACTGCCTTTGAATGAACTGTCACCTGCCAGTGGGGTTCACAGCCTCTGCAGGTCAGGAAGTACTCTGGGTGTGGCTTGGCTACCTTTTGCTCCTGGGTGTGGCTTGGGAAGGATAGGGCTGGTGGCCATGCTTGCTCAGAGTTCACTCACTAACCGGCACCTCCTGGACATCTGAGCAGTTGCTCTGTCCGCTGAGGTGGCTGCTTCCATTGTCCCCTCCCACCCGTATACCATCTGTCCCGATGGTTGACTGTTTGCTCCTCCACAACCCCCATCACTGGGCCACAGAGGCTTGACAGTCCGGCTACCAGCCCTCCTGTCCAGTGTTTAGAAACAGGGCTAGCGCACTGTGTGTGTCTTTTTGTCACAAATGGGAGGCAGGCCTGGCTGTCTCCAGTGATGGAGCAGCAGGGCCCAGAGCTGTGGCGTTGGTATGAAGCCTGGAGCTCATCAGACACCTGTCCTCTCTGAGTCATCTGCCAGGTGTCAACTCCGACCCCCCACCTGCCTGTGTTCTCTGTAAGGGGCTCAAAGTCTGTGTCAGGTAGGCAGGTAGTCAGGTGCTAGGGCCTGAGACAGGTGTATTCCTTCCCCAAAGGTTTTGCCGGAGGACATACCTAAAAAGGCAGAGTGACAGACACTGAGTCCCTGCCTAAGCAAGTACCATCGTTCCTGGGCCTCTCTGGCTATGGGAATGCCGTGAAGATGGAGGTGCCACATACCTTCTAGCTAGGCCTTAGAAGTCAGGACCAGGAGGGGTTCCCCTTTCTCCTTAGGAAGTCTTGGGGGCTAGAGTTGTTTTTCCTTACAAGGAGTTTTCTCTTAAAGCAAACAGGGGTGAGGGGGGAGCTTTCCTAAAAGCAGAAGTGATCAGCGGGGGCCCAGGACCCTTCTGCCCCATTTCAAAGACCTCCTCCCACAGATCCTTACATAGTCAAACAACCAACCCCAGGGGATGAGCCCCCTTGTTCCTGGTAGGGTTTAAGTGGACACTGTGTCCTGAGGTGGTAGGTGGCATGTGGGCAGACTGGAATTCTGAGGTTTAAGGATTCTAAGGCTTGTTTTGTTTGTTTTTTTTGTTTCGAGTTTTTTGTTTATTTGTTTGTTTTGAGACAGGATTTCTCTGTGTATCTGTGGCTGTGTTGGAATTCACTTTGTAGACAGGCTGGCCTCGAACTCCACCTGCTGGTATTAAAGGCCTGTATCACCATGGCCAGCTAAGGTTTTTTGTTTTACCGCTGCATGTATGTATGTGTACCACATGTGTGCCTGGAGCTCATGGAACTCGGAAAAGAGCAGCAGATCCCTTGGAACTAGAATAATAGATGGCTGTCTGCCTTCATGTGGAGGCTATGAATTGAACTGGATCCTCTGCAAGGGCAAGAGCTCCTACGTGCTGAGCCATCGCCTCAGCCCAGATTCCAAGTTTCAGCAGCTTCTTTCAAAGAAGTCCACAGGAGTTGGCTGCTTAGTCTCAGGAGGAGAACCTAGTTCCAGCCACTGGTGAGGTCTATGGGGAGATGGGACAGGCCAGTGTCCTTGGTGTAGCTCTAAGGCTGAGGAGGCTGGGGTTAGGTGCGTGGCCCCAGTTTTCCCCTCCCAAGCCTAGTTCCCCCGCTTCCTCCTCCTCTTTTTAGAGACAAGGTCTCACCATATAGCCCTAGCTGACCTGGAACTAGCTACCAGGCTGACCTTGAACTCAGAGATCTGTCTACCTCTGCCTCCTGGATTCTGGGTTAAAGGCATGCGCCTTTAACTGGCTCCTGTCTTTTAAACCAACCTGCTTCAGATCCCAGGAGGGTGACACTGTGAGCCAGGGAAGGGGGAGCACCCTGTGTCCGAACTTTGCTAGAGCTGTCTGGAGGATTCCTCAGTGGTTGTGTTAGTGGACTCAAGGGCTGGATTAATGACCTGGAACTGACTCAGGCAAGTTTGTGCTCCCTTAGAGCCTTGGGTCCAGCTGTAGTTCCTCCCCCAGAAAGCCCTCTGGCTTGGCTCCATTCTTGACTCCTAGGCTTTCTACCCACAGATCTAGGCGAAGCCCAAAGAACTCAGGAGGAAGAGGTTCAGAAGTTTATTGCCTGACTGGGCCAGGTCCCTGGGCTCTGTGGTCATTGGGCTTTGTCTCTTTTCTGGGACAACGGCTTCCTCCAGAGGACCAACAGGACAAGCAAATTCACCATGAACTGCACATGGCCAAAGATGGAGACACCATAGCTTCGGTAAAGCAGGCCACCCAGGGTGGGTCCTAGAGTTCGGGTCAGTGGATGCACAGATGCACAGAGTCCCAGCATGGTCCCTGGGAGAAAGGGGGAATAGCAGTCAGACCCCGGGCAGGTCTCTGGATAGGCTGCCTACCTTCTGGCCATAGCCCAGTCATCTGCCCATTGCTCATGGATGGCTCGAGACAGTTTTCAGAGTACCTGTCCATCTTCCTCACATACGCCCCTCACCTCCAGCAACCCCTGCCTCCCAATTAAGCACAACACCCTCCACTCACAGGGTCAGCTTCCCTGTGTGCTCCACAAATTTCCCAAGCAAGGAAGGAGTCTGGGAAAGGGGTCACAGGTCAGAAATAGGCCACACCCTCCCAGACCTGTCAGTGTAGATGTAATTTGCATAGACCGGGCTCCACCCAGGACATCCGGGGTGCTGGCTTTCACACTCTCTCCTAATGGTGACTGAGATGGCCAGTGTGGATTCGGCTAGGGAGGGTCTGGTCCCCTGAGGCACCGTAGGGTTCTAGGGCTGGCATTCTGGTTGGGCATGGTGTCCCTAGTGCCTCTCCTATGGCCCTTCCTCTGGTTGTCCCCCCACCACCCTCCTCTAGCTTCAGTGGATCTCAGTGTCCAATGGAGGACACTACGACACTAGGAGAGCTGCCAGTGTCCTCGCCTGAGTGCGTGAGCTCATATCTCCACGTCTCTGGTCAGCTGTCTCAGTGTGGACAGGCCTGTACAGGACCTTGTTAAAGTGACTGTCAGTGGAGAACAGCACCCACTAACGCAGTACCCATCCCACCTGCCATCCCCAGGTGGGAGTCACCCTCTGCCCCCATTCTGCTCCAGAAGGTGACCGACCGACCGACCCACCGAGCTTTGCTACTCACTGGTCAGGGTCTTCTGAGACCGGCCTTTTAACTGGGCCAAGACAAGGGCCTGCAAGGCCCCACCCACACTCAGGGCCCGCTCTGGGGAAACTCAGATGCAGCCTCTCTCACTGCCCACAGGCCTGCAGACACTAACTGACATCAGGCAATTACCGCCTCCTCTGCAGGCTCCTGTTTCCCAGGCAAACCAGGTTCTGCTCTTTCCAAGCTAAGGGGTGGTACCACAGGCGTGACAGGCGTGGCCTGGGTGCCTTGGCCTGCTCCTCCTGGCCAGCCCCACCCTCCACTTGCCTGGCCTTAACACCTCCTTCGCTCCTTTCAGAGAGAGTTCCTGGCCCAGCCCTTTGGAACTATTCTCTTGGCAGCATGGAGTGGCCACCCTAGACAGCCTTGGAGGCCAGGCCCGGAAGATTTCCCTTGTTCTGTGCATTCAAACCCTCCATTCAGGAAGCTCTGAGCACTTTGGTGTCGAGGACTAGGAATTCCCCCATGCTCTTCTCCCTCTCTGGCCTCATTACCTCTTCAGCCGCCAGCTGTTTCCCCAAGTGGTCCTGTAAACCCTTCAAGGTCCACTTCTTTGCTCCTCTGGCCTCTGCCTAGACAAATCTCTGGTCTCTCCCCTTTTTAGTAAAATTTTGACATGGATCAGAGCCAAGCCAAATGCCTCTTCCCGGAAGCCCTCCACCTGTGCCCTTGCCTGACTCTGTACTTGTCAGCAGGGCTAGGAAAGGACAGGATCTTTACCCGGGCTCTTCTTTCTTGTCACCCCCACCTATTCTGGTCCAGGCCACTGGGAGGAACCCTGACTCTTGGGACCCCTATGTATAGCTCACCTGTGTCTGAAGCGGACACGGCCTTGGTCAGCATGCTGTCGGTGACCACGTTGAGGGTGCAGAGACTGAATACCAGGCCGGGCAGCAGAAAGCAGAAGTGGAGAACATTGGACATCAGCACCTGGCAGAGCAATGGGCAGGGCCATGCTGAGCAGGGAAGTTGCAAAGCCAGATGGCAGCCCACCCCGAGGTCCCACGCATAGTGCTCCACCACAGAAGATGCCTCGCTTGGGGAGAAGAGAGAGTGCAAAGTGGCCTGAGGCGGGCCAGGGACTTAGGCACACCCAAGACATGGACGAATGGAGGATGGCCTGAGACCTGCTTCACAGGGCAGCTCTGTGTGTGTGTGTGTGTGTGTGTGTGTGTGTGTGTGTGTGTGTGTGCTCTCACCATGCCCAGTCCCACAGCAGCAAAGACCAGCACACTGGATCGCAGCAGGGCTTCCTCTGGGAAACGGGTGCTCAGTCTCCCAATGACCAGGCCTTGGATCACCTAGGAAGGATGTCAAGCGGGAGGAGAAGACAGTCTAAACCAGCAGTTCTCAACATGTGGGTCTCAACCCTTTGGGGGGTCAAATGACCTTCACAGGAAGGGGTTGCCTAAGACTATTGGAAAACGCAGATATTTACATTATAATTCATAACAGTAACAAAATTACAGTTATGAAGTAGCAACAAAAATAATTTATGGTTGGTTGGGGGTCACTACAACATGAGGAACTGTATTTTTTTTTTTTTTTTTTTTTTTTTAGTTTTTTGAGACAGGGTTTCTCTGTGTAACCCTGACTGTCCTGTCCTGGGATTTGCTC